ATAAGAGTTTAAGGACCTCATGAAGTTCAACCAAGCCAAGTGCAAGGTCCTACACCTGCGTCGGGGCAATCCCAGGCACAGCTACAGGTTGGGCAGAGAAGAGATTCAGAGCAGCCTGAGGAGAAGGACTTGGGGGTGTTGGCTGATAAGAAACTGAACATGAGCGGCTTCAGTGTGCGCTTGAGCCCAGAACCCCGCTGTGTGCTGGGCTGCATCAAAAGCAGCGTGAGCAGCAGGTTGAGGGAGGTGATCCTGCCCCCCTGCTCTGCTCTCATGAGACCCCACTTGCAGCACTGTGTGCAGCTCTGGTGTCCTCAACATCAGAAGGACATGGAACTGTTGGAGCAAGTCCAGAGGAGGCCACGAGGATGCTCAGGAGCTGGAGCACCTCCTGTATGGAGACAGGCTGAGAACACTCTTCTCAGCCTAGAGAAGAGAAGCTGCGTGGAGACCTCAGAGCAGCTTCCAGTGTCTGAAGGGGGCTACAAGGATGCTGGGGAGGGACTCTTCATCAGGGACTGTAGCGATAGGACAAGGGGTGATGGGTTCAAACTGAAACAGGGCAAGTTCAGGTTGGATCTAAGGCAGAAGTTCTTCCCTGTGAGGGTGCCGAGGCACTGGCACAGGGTGCCCAGAGAAGCTGTGGCTGCCCCATCCCTGGCAGTGTTCAAGGCCAGGTTGGACAGGGTTTGGAGCAAGCTGCTGTAGTGTGAGATGTCCCTGCCTCTGGCAGGGGCTCGGAACTGGATGATCTTAGGGTCCTTTCCAACCCAAACCATTCTATGCTTTTATGATTAAAGCTCATCTAGTTCCAGCCCCCTGATAGAATCATAGAATGGTCTGCCAGGGATGGGGCAGCCACAGCTTCTCTGGGCAACCTTTTCCATTCGGGGGAGACCTACTGCTTCTGCTGCAAAGGACTTCTACTCTTCTACGAACAGTAGAAGAACAGTAGGGCAATAGACATTGCCTCACCCAGTTTCATTTCTACTTAGGCAGGAAGAGCTGAGGCTTCACCCATTCCTGCTTTCTCAGTTGTTGCCTTGGGACAATAACAATTCACAAGCCATCAGCATTCACTTCTCCCTGACAGGAGCCGGAACCAAATTCCCTGCTTGGTCACACAAAGCCAAGTTCAACATTCCTAGTGGAATTCCTAGGACTGTCCACCCATCATCTAATAAAAACTTAATCCACTTCTTCACTGTGGCAGTTAAAGAATGTACAGAAACGAATGTCTTTGAAAATTCAGTCTTTTTAGGACTACTTATCTAAAAGAATACCAGAGCCTAATCGCTGACTTCAGTATGACCTTTCTTTCTGAACTTTAAAGATGAAGGCTGCATTTGACGCCAGCATCACAAGAACAAGCAGAACATCTGCATAATGCTCATGAGTCTGAACCAATAGTGTTATGAGCATTCACAGGAACAGAATAAAAATATCACCAAATGCCTTTTCTCCATGCCTTCTGAAAGATGGCTTTACTTACACTCAGCAGGCGATGAGGAAATCTTCTGCCTGATCGTGGTATGCTGCTGTGTCTAAGACTTCAGGAACTGACTAAAAGGTGCTTACTGCTGTGCTAAAGGATTTTAATGTACTTAAAAATTTGGGGCATAAAAGCCTTTTCCTTTTACTGGCATGCATTTTATTGAATTCTAAACTGTGTATTAAAGTTCACTGCTATTAAAAGGACTAGGACTCATTGTATTTATTCATGGATCTCTCCATAAACGAGCACAGAATGCTCTGTACTTATGTGGCTTTCTATCTTGATTTTCTACATTGTATTTTCAGAAAAGAACAAACAAGACATTCTATTCCAGACCTATTCCAATACTCAAAAATTAGCCTGCAAAACACAAATCCTGATTTTACAAAGCCCAGGAAATGAATTTTGACTTACAGTGATGAAGAAGCTTCAAGGTGAAGCCTTCACTTCCTGGACACAAATACTTCACAGTCTAAGAAGGCGCAATTGTGGATACAGCCAACTGCATTAAAACCCCTAGTAAGGCTTGTTCTTGTCCAGAGGTTTCTGTACACACTTGTATTATTTCTCACCTTTGCTTTTCCATTTTAGATCATGCAACCCTGCACAGACTTGAGATGTCAAGTATGGATCAAAAGGCTTTTGCTACAATGACTCTTAGAAGGGCTTTCCTTAGCGACAAAGCCAATCTTTCACGCAATGACTACTGCCAAAGCTTTGGACATCTTATAAGAAGACTTGGACAAGCTGTATGGACCACAGTGAAAGAAAAAGGAATAAGTGCTCTAACAATAACAGGTCAAAAAATGCTTTGGCTGGAGGAGTTGTTTCTGAAGAACGGAGTGGTTCTCTTCCGAGATGCGTGGTCTCAGAAAGAGACTGTGGAAATAGCTGGAAAGTCTCTTTAGGGGAGCATCTGTGGAACTGTCATTAGTTTTTCCTCATGGATACCCTGGTGAAGATCTGGCTCTGGATACCATGTGAGAGTAAAGCTTCTGAGACTGAGGCATGCACCAAGTTACCCAGTACCATCAAGGATGGGAACCGCCACGAGAATGAGACGGTGGGCAAGACAGAGAATAGCGAGCAATGGCTCCTCCTGTTTACTGCATCTAACGTGATTCCTCAGTCTAAAAGCCCAGTACGAGGAATATGAGTCACACAACTCCGATTCCTATATTTGCTTGACTTATCACTGTTAACATGCAAGGCTGGGAAGGAGAATAATGAGAAAAAGCTCAAGATAATCTTTGTGGGAGCTAGTTCAAGAAATGGGGATTTCTTATCAACACTGCATATCAAAATCCTTAGCACTGAAGTAGAAATCTTTGCAGGGAGAATGCACTCCACTTGAAAGGTAAAGCTAAGTCTCTGCTGCTGTAAACTTTATCATGAATACTTTACTAAGTATAATGAACTAGAAATTGTTGTCACAGGAGTAGGTGATTTTATCATGAATCTTACTGACAGAACAGCAATTCCAAATGCTGGAACAGAGTGCAACGGTAATTGGAAAGAGGATGTCAAGGAAAATATTCAGGGATTGCAGTGAAAAAAGCTAGTGACTGAATCTTAAACACTACCAGTCTGCCTCTAAATTCAGCTCTGAGCTATTTTTTTACTTAAAATAGGAGATCAAGGACTCCTACCTACCGTATTCAAGAACATCAGTGGCTTCCTTCTACATTCTTGCAAGGACTTTCGGCACAGCTTTCCTCTCACATGAGTATCAGTATAAAGTCCTACATAATAATACAGTAAAAGCCACCTATATTGGCACTCTGATAAAGAGCAAGTGTTTCTACTGTCAAAGAATGCCTTCAGTGCAGAACTGTGATAACTCAAGCAACGACCACATCACATCTTGTCAAGTGACTGTTCTGCTGCAGTGATCTGCAAGCCCGCACCGCTCACACGTCAATTAGAAATGACTAAAAGGCCCCTTTTGCTGTTCAACCCCGTGTTATTTCACATGAATGTACCATTTTATCAGAGCTAATAAGAGCTTCTTCCAATAACTTTATTTGTAATGGTTAGGCACAACGCTTACTTTCTGAGTAATTCATGACATGGAAGAGTCTCCCTTATCAGAATCTATTGCTACTAGCATCTGAAAATGATGCAAATCCCAAGCCTTCATACTTCTCTTTCTACAGTTACTTGCCACCTAAACAGACTTCACTGCACTTCCTCATTGCCTCCCCTGCTCTTCTTTTGTTTCCAGCATCACACCTCATCCCTAAAGGCAGTGACCATGAAGTTCTAACAGGTAGGGTTTATCCTGTAACCATGAGAACACAAGATGAAGACTGTAAGATTAGTGGGCATTTTGACTAAACAATCCCACCTTGCAACTAGTTGGCACAACATGATGCACTTATTGATTTTATAAGTACTTTGCAAGAAAAGGGAATGGAAAGCAATCAGAGTGGCAGGCTGAGACACCTGCTGACTGTTGCACAATAAAGGCTAAGCTACAAAGTGTAACCCTATGCCTGAAATGGCATAAAGCTGAACAACTTCTATCTGGCATAAATCTGATGGGCATTTCCCTTGAATACGTGGTGCGTTTGGCACTGCCATTTGTGATCAGCATCAACACTGTTGCGGTTGCATTCATTTTCCTTAGAGGACTCACTTCAAGAACTACTGGTATTAATTGTTTGAACTTATTTGTATTCTGATGACATCCACCATGTTCTTGGCACTGTCTGCCCACAGAAGAGAAAACCGCCCTTTTTAAAGACTGTACAATCTGAGTTCAGTTGAATGTTGCAACCCTGCAAAGAAAAATTGAGTTCATAAATAATGGAGAGCATTACGATTGCCAGATCAGTACCTAAATTAGGGAGCTATAAATCTTGGAAGGCCATAAATTACTGAATCAAGATAAAAGCTCACAGTACAGTAACCAGTACATTCTGGAAAGGAAGCACAGATCTTTGTTTTATCAAGGCATTGAAATATTTATTAACAAAGCTGAGTTTTCAGTGATGCTGAAAGCAATTAAACAATGAGTTTCAAAGGGAGCTGCACATGTAATTACTCTGTTATCTGAAAATCCCAATCAACAGCAACAATCATGTTTGCTTTAAATCATCATATCATCACGGGAAACAAAAGTCTTTTGTTCGAGGCAAGAATGAAGTGTGGGTGAAAGAGCAAACATGGTGGGAACATGGCTATCTGCAAGTGATTTGTGGCCGTGTGTTGAGCTAATAAAGAAAGCAATGTTCCAAATGACACTGACAGCAGCGAAGGCAAACTGGATCCTGGAAGGATGACAGCGATTGTGCAGATTATTACAGAAGAATCAGAAGGAACAGTCAACCTTCATCCTCCCTGGAGGCAAGTAGGCATCCAGTCTATAAAGAATACCGTACCCTCCGCTTCTTTTTGTTGATGGATGGGGAAACAACACATGGTTTTCTTTGCTATGTTCTGTATTTTTTTCAAATCAATCCTCTGTGTCTGAATATTGGGAACTCATAAATATCTTACTTACTCCCTCATGCGTTTCAGTTTGGTCTCAGCCATAGTGCTGTTGAGAGCTCTGGATCCCTGGGGCACCACTGGAGACACTCCGGTGACAGTCCCCGAGCCTACAAATCAATGCACAGACAAATAACCTTATTCACCTTCATCCCCTGAGCTCTATTGCAGAGTCAAGGGCAGTCAGAAGGAGGACGACTATTGTGGTTTCTCACAAGGTAGTGCCACATCAATTAAAGATGGATTACATTATTAAATGCGTATTAAGGGAGCCTTCTTTCTGAGGGACAAGCAGATTTATAGCTTAAAGGTGCCAGAACTGGAACAACAATTTTCCTTCTCTGTAGCATAGATAGAATTACATTGCAACAGAAAGCACAGGCAGGCACTTGAAGAAGTGCTGGGACAGGTAAACAGTCAACAAAATGAAACTTGCTTAGACAATACAAGTTTTCCTCCATTGTTCTTGCACTTAGTTAGACGAGCAATAACCTTCTTCCTAAGAGGCAAGTTTCTCCTTTAGCTAGATTATTACTTTGTATACTTTGTAATACTTTGTATTATTACTAAAGTAGGATCTGTTTTTCTAATTATAAAGAAATTCACGGAGTATGCAAAAGGGAAGGGAAGAACTGAGTAAGCCAAAGAAAAGGACTGGCACAGGAGAAAAACAAGCATGAGCTGGCCGATAAAGAAGTTTTGCTGGGAAATTAAAGGGTGGCCCCGAGGAAACCCCAAGTGCTTTGCAAAACAATGCTCATGACTTACTGGGTGGCATTCTGTTCTCTGAGTTGGTATGGAACTAAGTTCCAGCTGTGGAGCTTTGGGGCTTCAGAAGCAATAAAAAAATGGATGCCCTGAGCACCAGTGGTCTAAGGAAAATACAGTATTTGTATTCTCTTAAGAGAGAATACATTTAACCACAGGCTTCACCTAATTCTGGTATTACTATTATTACAGGATATACCACTGTAGTGAGAGCTCAGGATAGTCATTCTGCTTAGTGGGTTCAATCTATTTCTTGCTACAATATCTCCTTCTCCTCTGACGTTTCATTATTAAAGACATCCTTCTTGTTTTTTCTGGGATTCTAGGCTAAGTAATTTGTACTTTGTCTACTCTTTACAACTGCAGTTGGCCAAAAAAACCTTCTTCTCTAAAAGAAAACTGGTATCTATTTTCCTCTCCATTTAAATAGGATTTTCTGGGTATTATGAGGCAGCTGCAAGGAATACCGATGGGATGATGATGCAGAAGTGGGGTTAGTCGTTAAAACAAATGAGTTCTTAAGTAAAAACTTCTAAGAGCTTTACCTATTGTTGCTACAACAAACATCAAGATTTCTTCCCGGGGTGATTCATACCCCACACCAACTTCTGTACTGGAGGTATTTTCTTAGAAGCAGATCCTTGATTAATAACATATTTTGCCCTCAGATTCAAGCAGCTTGCCTGCCCATCCATCAACACAGAGCAAGGAACTCTGCTTCTTCAAAAAGTGACCAGTGGCTCCAAGACTATGATGGCCACAGCTTTGATTACTCCCTTTCATCCCTTTTCTTCTCTGGCTTTCTCTTCCCATCAGCCCATACTTCTTACAAGCGGGGTGTATCAGAGCTTGGCACTGAAGGAACCTCTACAAGGAGGACTTCACAGGCTTCCCTATATTCTAGTTTCAGAGCCCATATTCTAATATCAGATAATACTGAGTCAGGTTTATCCCAGCTGAACAAGTGTAAACGGAGCAGCTAAACAAGACTGCAGCTCCCCTGGGGGCCTTTGGGTTCCTTTGGGAACTCTGCTGGGCTTTAGAGCAACCTACATACAGGCTACTGCTGGCACAGCTCAACCCCATGGTCTTCAAGGACAGTGGCTACGCCACACTCAGTAAACAGCCTGCTTTCATGGAAGTTTCCTTTTAGCTGTTCTTTTGTTCTTTTAGTGAGAAACCAGGCTTTCAAACTCTACATTTATAGACAGAATTTGTAGGAGATTTTAGGATTCAATTGCAACCTTGAATTCCCAGTGATTTTTCTGTGCCTGGAATGAGATCCCATAAACTGAAATAAATATTATCCAAACTTGGATCATCATTTTCATTTTTGTTTTAATATTTTAACTGATTTTCTATTATTATTACCAGTACCAGAAACTATAAAATAACTTTTGTATCCTTCAATATTTTCCTCTGGACGGAATATGGCAGAAGACAAATTATCAAAAGCATTCTGCACCTCTAGCCGTCATGCTTTATGGCTCTATTATATTCATCATAAGCACTTAACTGTGTAGGCCTTTTCTTTTGGCATATTTATACTTCTCTGCAGTAGCTTAAGGTAGAAGTGATTTTCAAAGTCACTCAACATTTTTTGAGTTATTTTGTTGCAAAGTGGAAATAATTGAAATATAATGAATACAGACTGCTAACGACTTACATTTAAAGAGGAGATATCATCTTACCCAATGAGCTACCGTTCAGGACACTCTCCAGATACTTGACCATTGCCTCAATATCACTGTCCTGTGGAAAAATTAAACAAGGACTAGGATTAGTGCAAGCACAAACTTAAACATTATAGAAGTATCCCACAAACATAAAGGTTATTGCTTACACCAATGAATGTCAACACTCAACTACAAAGAGTCTGCATTGCTCAGGACTTTTTCCTGTTTTCTTCTCCTAAAACAGCAGGCTTGGGAATGATCTTACATCAAATCTGGTCTCTTCTCCCAAGTAACAAGCGGCGGGACAAGAGGTAAGGGCCTCAAGCTGCGCCAGGGGAGGTTTAGACTGGAGATGAGGAACAATTCCTTCCCCAGAGGGTAAACTGAGTAAACTTTTGGTCAAAGAGAAACCGAACATGGGTGGCTTCAGTGTGTGCTTGAGCCCAGAAACCCCGTGTGCGGGGTTGCATCAAAAGCAGCGTGAGCAGCAGTTTGAGGGAGGTGATCCTGCCCCTCTGCTCTGCTCTCCTGAGACGCCACTTGCAGCACTGTGTGCAGCTCTGATGTCCTCAACATGAGAGGGACATGGAGCTGTTGGAGCAAGTCCAGAGGAGGCCACGAGGATGCTCAGGGGCTGGAGCACCTCCTGTATGGAGACAGGCTGAGAACATGGGGGCTGTTCAGCCTGGAGAAGAGAAGCTGCGTGGAGACCTCAGAGCAGCTTCCAGTGTCTGAAGGGGGCTACAAGGATGCTGGAGAGGGACTCTTCATCAGGGACTGTAGCGATAGGACAAGGGGTGATGGGTTCAAACTGAAACAGGGGAAGTTCAGGTTAGATACAAGGCAGAAGTTCTTCCCTGTGAGGGTGCTGAGGCGCTGGCACAGGGTGCCCAGAGAAGCTGTGGCTGCCCCATCCCTGGCAGTGTTCAAGGCCTGGTTGGACAGGGCTTGGAGCAACCTGGTCTGGTGTGAGGTGTCCCTGCCTATGGCAGGGGGTTGGAACTGGGTGATCTTAAGGTCCTTTCCAACCCAAACCATTCTGTGGTTCCATGATTCAGGTTTAACTGGTGAGACAATTTCAGGACTCCCTGCTTCTGTGGTAGAGGTTCTGATTCCTCACACAAATATTTTATTTTTATCTTAGGAACTACATTTAAAGAAGCTATTAGTCCAAAGTTTTCAAAAATCAGTGCAAGGGATATTATACTATTCCTGAACGCCTTAGAAAGACCAATTTACAGAAATTACTTGGGCATTGAAGTTCATTGCTTTCACTGAGACTTGATCATTGGAGACAAGATGCAGCTCAGCTCATCCTGACCAGATCTAAATCAGGTGCCTTTTCCAATAATCTTGAACCACCTTCAGACTGCAATCCCCAAGACTTTCATGTGGCAGCCTCACCTGATAAAGCTACTTTAAGCCTTTCAATAAGTTTTCTCTTCACTGGCACTTTCTGAGATCCTTGGGAAAGTTTGCAAGTCCACTGGTCAAGTCTTGCAGCTCACACTGCTCGCAAAAATAAGCCTAATATCAGCAGGAAGAAGTGGCAACTAGAGGTTGCCCAGGAATTAGAGATGGAATTTAGAGCTTAAGCTTGAAGTACACTTCAAGCTTTAACTTGATTTACCCATAGGTAACACATGAGAGAGCCCCACTCTGAGTGCTTTACAGTCACAAGGAAGTTTACTAACAATCCACCCTAAGGCATTCATGGGAGTGTTATCCTTAGTCCTGAAGGGATGCAAGAATCCTTCTCATTAACGTCTCGAACGAATGGCATATGCATACACGTATAACTAAATCATGGTATTGATATAAACATGCATACCTCACACAAGCCAATTTCAGTAATGATGTCAGGAGGACAAAATCTTGGAAGGAGCTAAATTTTACCATGGAAAATGAGCATCCAGTTACACTGTTTTCCCAAAGATCACATATACCTGGTGATCTGGCTTAGAGACAGTCTGTAACGCTTCCGCATCCTCCTCCTCTTCACTGCTTTCTGAACAGGATTCAAACTCTTCATTGTAATATTCTTCTGCTGCTGCTGGGTCTTCCGGGATCTCTAAAGACAATTATGACTTTATAGCACTTAGACAGAAAAAATGTATGATCTTAAAAAGGTAAAATAGATTTTATAGCACCCATGTTATGTCACTAGCAACACATTCTGTGATTGAAAGCAAGGGATAGGTTCTCCGATTAAAACGTTCACCTTTGATGACATGCTAAGCACTGTTAAAGCTGTCTCTGGCAAAAGATCAGATCCTCATCATATGTAAATTAATGACCTTAAAGCATCTATATTGATTTTGGACTGAAATCACTGAATCAGAGAATAATTCAGTCTGGGAGGGACCTCATGGAATCATCTAGTCAAAGCGGGAATTGAATGCAGCTTTTGTGAGCTGGAATCATGCCCCAGTTTGGTTTTCTCTAACACACACAACCTGTGGTGGATACAACTGCTAAGCTAAATGGAAAATGCTATAAACCAGGCACATGTTTAAGAGACAGAGGAAATAAAATCTGTATTTTCTTCCTGAAGCAAAAGCAAAGTGAAATAGAAGAAACTGGTGAAGTCCAGCTACGCATACTTGGGCGTCATGCTCTCTGAATTTATCACCATCACAAGTTTTAGCAACAGCAGTGAGTGCAGTATTTACATCGCCAATGAGCCAATAAAGTACAATAATTGTTATTAAAACTCACCATATCCATCACAGCATGAAAGCACACTCCAGCCACTCTGCTCTGGACAAAATCCTTTAGCATCCCAGACTCTGTAAGTGAAACAGCTCGAGGCCTGACTGCATCTGCTTCCAGGAGCACACCTTTCTCAGCAGAAGCCCTGAAGCATGTGTTTAGTTCCAAGCAGAGGCTGGACTGTGGTGACTATATGAATAAAAGAGCACACTTCCCACTTTTCCAGACAGAAAGCTGCAAAGCAAAGAGTTACCCACAGGAGACACGGCTCAGCAGCAAGAGGCAGGATCAGAAGACAAGGGAGCCTGGCTGGCCAGACATCCCATCAATAGCCCTAAGCATTCAGAGAGAGATACTCCAGGAGAGCTAAGCACCATGCTTTGATTTTAGGCAGTCCCTTACTGACTGACCAAGATAAGCTACATCCAAGCCCAGGAACAACGTTTTTATGCTATCATTTTTCAAAAGGAAAAATGCTCTCTGTTTGCTCTCTGTCTTTGCCTGGTATGATTATAAGAAATGTTAGTTGAAGATGAGATGATGCTGGGGAGGGACTCTTCATTAGGGACTGTAGTGATAGGACAAGGGGTAATGGGTTAAAACTGAAACAGGGGAAGTTTAGGTTGGATATAAGGAAGAAGCTGTTTACTGTAAGGGTGGTGAGGCACTGGAATGGGTTGCCCAGGAAGGCTGTGAATGCTCCATCCCTGGCAGTGTTCAAGGCCGGGTTGGACAGAGCCTTGGGTGAGATGGTTTAGTGTGAGGTGTCCCTGCCCATGGCAGGGGTGTTGGACCTTGATGATCTTAAGGTCGTTTCCAACCCTAACTATTCTATGATTCTATGAAGACACAAAATGCTTAATATTCAGTTCTCATAAGTCATCATAGTCCTAGCTTTAGCTACGGCTGATTTGTGTCATTCACCCCAATTAAACGTACCTCTTTAAAGAAATATAAATCAACTTAAGCTGCATGGAAATAAATCCAATTCAAACAGTAAGACATAAAAAAATGCTTAAAATTTTTTACTTGACTCACATGAATTAAAAAAACAACAAAACCAGAAGAAGGGTTTAAAGGAGACTACAATCAAAAAACAACAAAAGCCCTTGGAGTTTGGGCAGGAAGAATATTTCTAATATTTAAGGTGTAGGAAAGAGAACTCAGTGAAAATGTGTTTGTCTGCAGCACGAGGTGGCTGAGCTCTCCCACTGAGGTACGATCGCTGATATCTATTGTAAAAACCACTTTCTTTCTTATAAACTTGATTCACCTCCAAATTTCTCACACATTTTCACTCAGGTTTCTCAGTTTTAAGATCACAGATTCCCAGACTGGTTTGGGTTGGAAAGGACCTTAAAGCTCATCCAGTCCCAACCTCCTGCCATGGGCAGAGACACCTCACACTAGACCAGGTTGCTTCAAGCCCCATCCAACCTGGCCTTGAACACTGCCAGGAATGGGGCAGCCACAGCTTCTCTGGGCACCCTGTACCAGCACCTCAGCACCCTCACAGGGAAGAACTTCTGCCTTAGATCTAACCTGAACTTCCCCTGTTTCAGTTTGAACCCATCACCCCTTGTCCTATCGCTACAGTCCCTGATGAAGAGTCCCTCTCCAGCATCCTTGTAGCTCCCTTCAGATACTGGAAGATACTTACACAAGCTTCAAAACAGCCCTCATTCCAGTGCCACCATTTCTAATTCTTCCTGTTTCTATTTTTCACCTTAGTTTGTAAATAACCCCAAACCACCAAACCCAAACCCCAACCAAACAAAAACCCCAAACAAAGGAAACCCCAACACTGTAAAATGAAGATCCATCTCCTTTTCCAGGCAGAATGAAGTCATTTTTCTTTCTTGCAGAGACACTGTCATTTCTGTGATTAGTATAATTTTAGTAGGTTCATCTGCATTCTATGTGTATTTATTCATTCAAATACATATGAAACAGCCTATTTATGATAACACAAACCTTGGACTACACTACTGTTCTCTGAGTTGTCTTCTCCCACATTCTGCATCTGTTTACTGTTGTAGTTAAAAGTACTAAAAGGCCTAAAAATCCTCCCCTTCCCAGCCAAACAAGGCATCAGAATCAGTCTTTTACTCATAACTGTAACTTAAAAATGTCTGCTCTGGCAGCCCATGAGCATCCAAAACTGCTGATGCCTCCAAACTGTGTGGAAAGGCTGGCACTGGCTATATCCACTTCCAAGACAGCTTTTGTATCCTTGTCAGAATTGCTCACCATTTGAGAAACTGTTTTGACAGCTGTTCATATATGGCCAGTTAATCCAAGCTCAGTAATACACTTTTCAATGCTAGTTCAGACACTAGAGATGTTCCAGGGTACACAAGTTTACCAGCTGTGATTTAGAAACCATTCCAAGTGCTATTTCTGAAAGAATACAGCATGTCCAGTGGATGGGAACTTGGGATTTAGCCCCATATACAGGTCCTTACAACTTCCTGGTTTCATGACAAGCATCTTTAAAGAAGGCACTTTCAAAACATCCATGTTTTCATTTAGACTATCTGGCTCCATAAAATAGTTCCTTGAGTGCTACTAAGCAGATTCAGCTCCTAGTCCTCTGCATGCTACAGATGCAAAGGCACATCTCTGGTTTTCTGCAGAATTAATCTGCATACAGAACAGCTTATGTAGTTGAGACCGATGAACAGATGAATTTCAAGAACACATAAGATGGCTTTAGCACAGCAGATATCGTAAATCCACATGGCAAGCTGTACCCGTGCTGGCCTAGTGAAGTCTAAGCACAGATAAATTGAGTTGGTATTTCCAGCTCAGGGCAGGTACTGCCAGGGAAGGTTGGAGCCCATATGCTTGCATTTCCACATCTGCAGTCCATCCTCCGGCATATCTGCTACCTGAGTTTTCCCACTGGATATTCCATACACACCTCCAATTTCCACTAACCATGTAGCAAAAGGCTGGTTACTCCCACTATCCCTGAACATTACCACTGCACACCTTAGTAACGCAGCATGGAAGAAAACTCCTTGGTTTGTACTTTCAGAGTAGCAGATTTAATCAAAATGATGCTGTTTGGACTAGGTCTGTTTGACTTTTGTTGCCATGCCTTCGCAAAGCCTAGCATGCCCTTTGTGCTGACATAAAACAGAAATTAAACCTATTTATGCCTCTTAGGTACTTGGGTAAGGAAAACTGCTGCTAGTGAAGTGAGCATCAAGTCTACCATATCGAAAATGGAAAGAAAACACTGCTGCCGAAACCAGGGTACCTCTTTGTTTCAAAAGCTGGTCTGGGAGAAGAACAGCATCATGTTTAAGAAGGTCCTGACACTGTCTGTAGCCCATTGGACCCCCTTGCTCACACAGCACTCCTGACCTGCCCAAGCACAGCGAATCCGCATGTGGCATACACATGGTATAAGCAGGAATTCTGCTTTCCTTGCAGACCCTTGCTAAATGGTAATATCCAATGTAAAGTTTTCTACTACAATGCCAGGGGGTCAAGCACGCAGCCTGATGGCCACAACATGGCTTTAATACACTCGTCCCTTGAGTGCTTGCTCTCCCTCTGCTACAGCATACTTACATGCTCCATATGGCGTACAAAGGAAAGTCTCTACAGCTGCTTCTGCCCCTCAAACCCTTAGATCTGTCAGCTGATGTCTGAAAATACACTGTTTTATCAAGCTGTGCATCTTGCTCTAAGGCCAGCCACAGTGCCTTTTATTTCCTTCCATAGCGCTTCATTCAGAGCAAGCCCAGCTATTGCTTCCGCCTTGCTTGGTGGTATAGCACCGAGACACTTGGCGTTAGATATTCGAGAGAAAAGAAGCTTTAAACAATGACATTCCCTTTAGATTCCTTTCTATATTAACATGATGCTAACAGCGGAAGGAAAGATAAAAACAACACATTATTTAAAAACATCGTAAAGGCACAGTTATTTCCCAAGAAGACAAGCTATGCAGAAAACAAAGGAATGTGATACTCGCAATATTTTGCTTAAATCCACCAAAAGCTTGTTTCAGGTAGCATGGCAACCTGGCAATGACATGAAAATGCTTTGATAAATATCTTTAATTTTCCCTTGCCTTGAAGCCATATTTATAACTGGTACACTGATGCAGCATTCTCACATTCCAGTGCATGCAGAAGACAGTAAGTAGGGCCTCTTTTACTAAAGAAAGGGAAAAGAAGAAAAAGGAAAACAGAATGGTATGGTATGGCATATGTTCATTTTCACCATTTGTATTCACAGAAACAAAGTAAAACTCGGCTTTTAAGGACTATTATGCTTTTTTAATCCCGAGGCTTCATCGCATCTCTGGAAAAGGCAGATTTTCTCAGCTGGCACTTTCCCATC